TCTAATCATATTACAAGTATATTTGATTAACAAATATAAATCATTCTCTTTAATGGGAATATTTAACTGGAATACATGAATACAGTGATTCCTAATAATAAATTACCTGTATAATCAACTGACAATTTTTTAATTAATTCCCAATAAAAACATTGTTCTTGCTAAATGCACTACCAAAAAAAAAAAAAAAAAATACTCTGGTGTAGAGCCTACCATTGAATTGTAAATACCGTTGTTGGATAATGAGACGGTACGGTGAAAATGATTAATGTCACTAATAATGGACAAAACCAATGAATACTTTCTACATGTTTCTACGTACAGTTTGGATGTATGGTCCGCGACTGGTGCACAGTAAATAGTAGTGGCTGAGCAACCGTTGTTGTTGAATTAACCGTTGGGTAAATAACGATCGATGAAAATCCGCGAGTAGGTTAGAACAATGGAACCGTCGCAAACGTGCAAGCAAATGCTGTTGATCGTCACACACGAACTGCGGTTAGAGCCGAAACGTCGCGGCGTGGTTTGGTCTTGAAGAACGAACAATGAACGCTCAAAACCACGGAATAAATTATGGCGGATGACCGACACAAACAACGAACGTTTCACGGAAATATTGACGTTACAACACTATTATTTAATCGATATCATAGACAGCGCACCCAGCACAGGTTTATTCACGAAGCGCGTAAGTAGTACGATGCAAGGTTTAACGGAGAATATTTTACATTTCGATTGATAGGTTAACTTTTCCAATACCCGTAAGAAATTGGCGCGACACGGTGTGCATAACCTATACGAGAACGTGAGCGAAACTATAACGATACCGTAACGGATTTTACCGGGAAAATAATGACAAACAAATATTTTCTGGTCCAACAAGCATTATCATGTGGCATGATGTTCGTTTCTTCCACGGTTTAAGATATATATCTTGTATATCTTAAACCGCGGTTTCTTCTATGAAACCATTATCACTACGAGCCACGATTTTGGACAACACAGATTGTAATGATAGTGTGTACCTCGAATTGTGGCTCGTGCTGTTATAGCGTACCGTTTTAACTACGATTCTGCGATTTGTTTTTGACTAAACACCTACATTTTTAGTGAAAACATTTGTCGTTTAGCACTTTAGGTATAAACATTTGTTTTCGGTTTTAATAAAATATTTTTTATACCGTAGTAATGCTGTAAATAATTTTATCTTATAGCAGATCGAATGTATTAGTGATTTATGAAAATATACTTGAAATCATCTATCGAATACTCATCCGCGAGAAAAGCAACGTATAGATTTAAAATGTTTTCAAATGATTTCATAATATTCATATCATATTTTTGTTTTAAATGCTTATCACCAAGCTGAAATTCATTATTCTTTTTGCAAAAATGTAGTAGTATTGTTGCATAACAATCAACACTTACAAAAAATATATTACTATAATTAATCATTCAGTTTGGTTAATTGTCTGTATAACTGTAAGAAAAACCTGTGCCTGCGGTATGATTAAGTGTTGAAGTGTCCAGTTCATTGTTTGTGGAATACAAAAAAGTTTTTCCAGTAGAAATTGGTATAAAGTCACTTGAAACTTTTTTTTTTGTCTGTCAACTGTTGTCGTATTTTTCACTTAAGGAACTTACATAGGAATTCAATTTCATAAAATAATTAACATAAATGTGTTGACAAAATAATTAATTTTTTATCAGGTAGTTAGTATACATATCAGTATACACAATATCTATTCTAATTACTACTCTATATCACGTATATACTAATCAATATTTTTGCTTTTTATAATGATAACATTTAGTTTGAACTAATAAACTAGTGAACTAATGAAAATGACAGATAATTTTGCTTATTATGTAATATTAAATTCAATAAATATGATACAATAATTTTTTAATATTTCCATTTAACATTAATGATTAACACACAACACACAACAAATATTATAATCAAAATATAAACTGTTTGTATTAAAAGTATCTATCGATTCCAATCGAAATAATTTATTGATAATTAACAAATTTAAGATATTTTAAATCATAATATTTGATCTAATAATAGATTAAACTAAACTGATTGATTTATTAATATTTATAGATTAATTTCTAGTTATCTTAATATAATTACCTAAATTGTACTCAAGTTAAACATAATCTACTTAGTTATTATATAAATATATATATATATATATATATATATATATTAGTATATTAATTACTTTTCAGATAGATGGAGATCTGTGTTGATAACATAGAGTCTGCTATAAATGCAGTTACTGGAGGAGCGCACAGGCTAGAACTATGCAGTGCATTAAGTGAAGGAGGATTAACGCCATCATTGGGGCTTTTTAAAACATTAAAAACAATGATTGATATTCCCATTTTTGTAATGCTAAGACCAAAGAGTGGTTATGATTTTGAGTATTCAGATTTAGAGATGAAAGTTATCCTTAAAGATTTAACTTTATTCAAAGATGCTGGTGCTGATGGATTTGTTTTTGGTGCTCTTTCTTCTGGTAATATAGATAAAGTAGCATGTTCATCAATCATTTTAGCTGCTGATCCATTGCCTGTAACATTTCATCGAGCATTCGATGTTGTAACAAATAATCCTTTAAAAATGGCAAAAGAAATAAGTGATATGGGTTTCAAACGATTATTAACTAGTGGAAGGTGTAGTCTAGCTGTTTCTGGAATTGATTTAATTAAAGATTTAGTTGAAGCAATGAAAGACAGTTTAATTATAATTCCTGGATCTGGTATTAATGTTGGAAATCTTGAGAGTATTTTAGTTAGAACATCGGTACGTGAATTTCATACATCAGCAAAAGTATTAAAACAAAATGTATCTACAAATAGTATATGCTTAGATTCAAATGGTAAAGCACATTTAGTTTATGTTACTCAGTCTAATATTGTACGAGAATTACTCAATATTTATAAAAATTGTACTGAACAACATTAATACATTTAATACCACAATTAATACATTGATATATTTTTATACATTATAAAATGTAATTTATATTTATAATAAGTAATTATTTATTTATTGTATGAACAAAAAAATATATTTAAAAAAGGATGTGTAACATAACAATTTCAACTTTATTTTAATTTTTTTTAAGTATAATCGGGAATGGGCAGTATATAAGATACGTATCTGAGATACAATTGTATCTTGTATCGTGGATTTAAATACTTTTTAACTTGTACATAATATCTTTTTATAATTAAAGATACTATACAATCTATTGTTATGTAATAATAATTATTAATAATTTAGATTAAAGTTTTTCGCGTCGAAGGCGCATTCACTTGATAAATGAACAGTATATCAATATTTGCTCGTAATAAAGGTCGTATTAAATATAATCTTTATTATGAGTCTATTATTATAATATATTATTATTATTATCCTTTATAAAATTGACAGTGTATATCATGAATGACATTTATTTAAAATAAAATAATAATGTTCAAGATAATAGTTTAAAATTATATCATAAAATACGAATAAAATGATAAGATTATTTCTAACCATGGTACATGATTCTTTTCGTACTAAGAGTGTTAACAAAAAAAAAAAAAAAAAAAATATAAAATGAAATATACAAATCTCACATCAGTCAAATCATCCAAAAACAACTAATCAATTAAATTATAATTTTATATATAAATGATAAAAAAAAAAAAAAACCATTATACATAATTAAAAATATGTACAGAGAAAATAAATCAACGGTACTTAAACATAAATTATTTAGTTACAAATATGACCAATGCGTAAGGATATTGATTAGTTAAAATAATGGTTATTTAAATAATAAAAAACATAAGCCGTATTTTTTTTTTGTCTAGGAAAATGAAAAATAAAAAACTGAAATGTGTTCACAATACAAGTAAATATGTCATATTTTAAGGTTCAATATCATTATAAACATCTTCTTATTCTATATGGGTTCTCGTCTAGCAATGTTCCTTGGGTTATGCAGTCGAGAATCCACATTTCATGGATCATAGTATTGATCGCTAGTGGTGTATAACCGACCACTATATTAGCTTTATTCACATTTGTGGTACATTTACCACCACATGCACGCACCAGTCGTTTTAAGTGATTAGCAGATGGATCACAAACATTAGAAAGGTAAATACTACCGGCCTCATCAAATATATGAAGTTTTTCAGATGGATCAAGAGTTGAATGAAATTGAAAGTCCTTAAAAAAAAAGAAAAATAAATGAAATGAATTATACTTTTATTGCTTTCGACCTATTTTAATATTGGTTGTATGTATAGAAAAAAAAAAAAAAAATATAAACTACTTAAGGTTTACCTTAACAGGACTTGATAAACCAGATATTAAATAATCTGAATAAGACAACCATTTGCCCATTTTGAGAGATTCATGTACCTAATAAACAAATCGATAAACACATTTTTATATATAACCAAGTCAGGATAACTCAAATTACAATGTATGTCCATTTAAATGGAATTTAATACTGATTATATTTGTATTATTTACCCAATTTTCGGAAACTATGTAACATCCATAAGCCATTGCATATACCATATTTAATGTTCGATTTGACTGTGATTTAGTAATTAAATAAATAGTCTTATGTTCCACATTAGTTTGAAAAGTAAATGTGCCCAGGCTTTGTATGGATAGCTTCAATGTTTTTACTTCCCTGTCGAAAGAAACTTTTTTAGTAAAACATATGTAAAAACTTTTCATATAAAAGATTATCTTACTCTTTAGTAAATCCAGTACACGCAATCCCCTTAATTTTTCTAGTTGGTTTTTTTATGCGTGTGATTTGTGAAGGCGATGGAATATCAGTCATAAGGCTCGTGTTATTTAAATCATTATTTGAACTAAATAATAATCTACGTAACCGTTGTCTAGCTTGAAGGTTTAATTTCATGTGATTTTCCATTCCAATCAAATTACGGTTAATATTTGCGAGTGTTTTATTTTTTGTTTCTTCAGGGATTACATACTTCCTTAATATTTTTATAGACAGAGGTAGATAACATTCAGGAACTACTTCTGTATCAAAAATGCTACTGTGGTCTGGGTCGTTTAAAATACTGTATAAATGTTCTGATAATCCGTCCATAATTTTATTCTGAATTAATACAAAAATAAAAATTAAATAAACATCAAAGAAAACAAATCATGATATTTAATAAAAATACAGCCAAAACCTAAAATTAATGTAAACAGATTAACAACAGAAATCATTTTTTAAACTGTAGCATACCCCTACTAATGTCCTCATATTATTTTTTAGTAATGAGAACAATGGTTGTTTTTATCATCTGTTTTAGTACTGTGTATAATGTAGTAGTACTGTATGTAATACATACTATATGTAATAGTACTGTGCATTAATAAATTAATAACCACTTCCGACTCTGAACATTTTTTGAAATTAATTTTTTTCATGTTGCGTATAACCAAAGTCTTTATGATTATACCAAAATGTCATGTTACTTACTGGATTCTTTACAGGTGTTTTTAGTTCAGGGGTTTGTAAAGTTTTTTCGAATCTCTGTCTGCAAATATCAATTCGTTCCGAAAGTTCAGTAAACATGGTTCTTTGTTGGATTTTTTTTTCATTATTACTTTGTCTTATCGATTTGTCATGCTCGTTGCTATTCTGAAAAAATAAATAATAAAGTCAATGCTATGATTCTATAATAAATATAAAGTTAATAAACAAATTAACTTAAAAAAAAAAATTAAAATAAACTTACTTGAATAATGGAACTTTTTTCCTGTACCTTAGTATATCTTTCCACGTCAACAGGTGGAAAGAGGAAAGGATCCATCATTTTCTCGGCTAAATTACTATATTTAACCCATTTTTCTGTTACCATAGGAATTTTACGCTCGATCGCCGTTTTATACGTTTCAATAGAACCATCATGAAACAATACATGTGTTACCTTCAGAAAAAAATAGCCAACTTTAAACTAGTGTTAAATTACAAATTTTTAGTAATTACTTTGTGATTAAATGTATTTTCAACTTTGGCCCCAAGCTTAATGAGGAGTTTAATGATGTCCAAAACTAGTTGATCATTTTTAATTTTATAATCCATAAATGCAACAACTCCTAAATTACAAAAAGTATTAACATAAAACATATTTATAAATATATAAAAATAATAAAACAATTAGATTCAATCTTAAATAAAATTTTAATGTATAAATAAAAAAATGCTTGGACCGGATTATTATATTTGTAAAGTACGATCGGTTTTCAATTTAAAATTAATCGTCAAATATATACACAATCAATATTAAACATAGGTTTACGTGCGATCGTATGTAATGGAGACAAGGGTTGGGCGTTTCATGTGATAAGAAAATTTCAATGAGGCCAAAAGGTAAATTTAATAAGGATATAGTGGGACCTACTATGATATAGGGTTAGGAGTGTTGGGCTTTTGGCAGAAGAATAGAACATAGTATCAGTGTTACAGAAATAAGTAACCGGTCACACTTTATGAATTCAATGAAATATATTTATTGATTTATATATATATATATATAATATTGATAATGTTGTACACATATTAGTTTAAACTATAATTTGTTAGTTAACATTAACAATGTTGGCTTGAATAAAATGGTTTAAATACTATATTCTACAAGCGTTTTGATAAGAGTAAAAAAATGTTAAAATGTTATTAACTATCCAATAGATATAGATACTTTTCTGTTGTCCTGACTACTGGCTGATGCCGTGACTATCGCAGGTCTAATTTCGTTATCTAGATTAAATGTATCAGTCAATCTCCATCATCAGCACTGTTAAACAATAATATTAGTCGTCTCTGACTGACGTTAAAATTTATTATTTTAGTTATATTTCTGTATTTATAATTGTGAATCATTAGTGAAAAAGATGTTGTTGAATTCTTTTAAGAAAAGTGTTTACTTCCCAGACATACTGTCAATGTGAAAATGGTCATAAAAGAAATTATACATCGGAGAGAATGATAATGATTTTATGTTTTATACAAATTATGAACCCTCCTCTTCTATGATAATAAACGTTATACTATAATATACATTGTATTAATTAATTAAATGACGAATTAACGTGGGTCGAGACTTTGAGGAGGTAGTCGAGATAACGGAAAAGTACCATCCAACATATTAATATCTAAAAAGTTGTAGTTAAATAAAAATTTACCTCCTAAGACTTCAGAAGACTTTTTTTCATTTTTACTATTGTTTAAATTTGAAATGGATTCATCTAATTGTTGTACGCCACTGACATTTAGACTTTCGGTCGATAAAGCCGATACATCACTTGACTTTTTGGTGATACCCATTGAGACATACATATCTTTTGTGATCTTTTGTGGTAGTCGTTTTTTTAATGAATTACTAGATACTATATTTTTCTTCGGTGTTCTCTTCATTTTAGTCACCAATGTTTTCTTCTTCGATTCGGCTATAGGTGTCGATGTAGTATCACGCTTAACAACAGGAATAACTGCACCAAACAAATCTGTGTATTCTTCAGACGACTGGGCGTCTTCGATCATTTTCAACTGAGATTCAAATGAATCAAAGATATCAACATCGAACGGCTCCGACGACAGAATACACTTCCTGGGCGGGGATCGTTTTCTATTTTTACGAGGGTATGGGGTTCGATGTTCGGACATAGTAGCAGTAAGTAATTAATGAGTAAACACAAAAATCGAATAGACAGATACGAAGTACAATTTTAATCGTCGCTCGAAGATTGAATACCAGTACGTTCAGAATTGATAAGAGTATAATTGGAACATATATAATAAAGTGTAGATAGTTCAATCTTCTTATCATGTATCGTGATTTATTTGTGTAATTATTTTATTGATATTTACTTAAATAAAATGTAAATTAAATTCTAATCAGTATAAATTATTTATTAATTATTTTATTTAAATATTAAATAAATTATTATATAAAA